AATCAATTCTAGATTTTTGCCCGCATCAAACACCAAATTATAATATTAAAAAAAAATCATAACGAAGGGGTCGCCCAAATTCTCTCCCAGGCACGACCCCCGAAGCAACCGCCGCCCCAAAGCTCCACCGCAGATCTGATGGCATCTCACTACAGCATCACCTCTGCTCACGTCTACAGCTCTTTTTGACTCTCTTGAAGCACCTTTCGGGAGTGCTTCGTAACTCCATCGTTGCTGTAATTCTCTCACCGTCGCGATCTATCAACCTCCGACCGTTTGCATCTAGTCAACGGCGACAACCTCTCAGATCTCTCCATGGCTTCCGGTGACCTCTGGCTTAAATCCGGCTGGAAGATTGCTGCCCCGTTCGCTACAGACCAGTGTGTCTCCTTCCTCCCAGTGATAGAATCCGGAGTATTGCAGAACCTTCCTCCTCCGCTGGAGCCGCCGGATCCACCGGATCAAGCTCCTCCTCATAAGTCATCGTCCTTAACTTCTCCTTCCCAACCAATGTTTTCTTTCCCTCTGCATCCGTCATCGCTTGGGTCTAATCCGAACATAAATCCGCCGCACTCAACCACATCTCCTTTGGCGGTGGTTTGGAATCTCGCCGGTCATGACGGTGGTCCTCTCAACTATTCTTCTCCGGTCTTCCGACTCCAATCTTGTCTTGTAAGCTTTTCTTCCTTTGGTGATGTCTTAACGGGCTTGGTGTGTGAGGAATCTTTAGAGGGCTTGGCCCATGGTGTTTCTTTAGTGGATTGCAAGCCCATTATCAGTTTACGATGGTTAATGATATTAGCTGCATTCACCAGATTAATGACATTAGTAGTGATAACATATGTGACTAGTGCCAAAGAATGGCAACTAGGGAATGAGTGTAAAGCCAAGACTTTAGAATTCTTGATGACTCGAGCTAAAGCTAGAGTGGCTTTATCGCAACTAAAGAATGAGTGTAAAGCCAGCACTTCAGAATTCTTGGTGACTCGAGCTGAAGCTAGAGCAACTTTGTCGCGAGCATTAGAAGATGGCATAAGGACAACCTCGGTAGAATCCAACTCCTTACAATTGGATCGAGCTTTTTCGTTAGCCTCAAAGATTTTTAAACTACATGGTATATTCCATAACATTTCATATCTTTCCAAAAGATTTGAATCTATCTTTTTTAGTTTCTTTCCAAGATTAGCAAACCTAGTTGCTATGTCTCTTGCAAAAAAGGCATTGTATGCCCTTGTAACGGAATCACTATTTTAAGTTAATGAAGTCCTTGGTTGACAAAAAAAAAATCATATTTTAAATCATATTT